AAAATAAATTATTTTGTTATTAAATATAAATTAAATTATAATAAAAAAATTGAATTAAAGAAGTTACACAAGAAAACGAGAATTATTCAATAGTTAATTTGATACTAATATTAATTAATTTTTTTTAAATTTTTTATGCTAGATTCAAATTTATATTTTATTCAAAAATAAAAACATTATCGTAATCTCAAAATCACATAAAATCGTATTATAGATAGTGCCAGAATAAAAACTAAACAATTACATCGAGATTTATCTCATTGCATTACGCGAGTGCCCTTCTAGTCCCTCAATAATCCTAACGATCGCTAAAAAATATCAAAAAATATAACTAAAAAGATAAATTGTAAATATCCTTCTGTTGTAATCAGTCAATGATTATTGGTGGTTGTTTGCATCATTCACCGATGGATGCGTCGTCGATAATGTAGTTAAAAGAACCCCCGGCGACCCATTAGACTATCCGTTGATGATATTTTTCTTCGCAAAGCCTTTGGTGATGGAGTCATGCTCGTATTTTTGTCTTTCACAGATCCGTTAGTGATGCATCCTTTGGAAATCCTTATGTTGTACGTGGTGATTATGGTTATCGGTAATTCGTCTGTGAGGTTCTCGCTTGCAATTTTTTCCCACGATGTCTTTCAGAAAGCCGTTGGCGAAAGTCTTTACCTACAAAATGTTGGCCAACGGATCATTGAAGGACATTACCATCACACACGAATTAATAAAGGATGTGTCTGACAGTTTAGGGCCGGTTTAGTTTGTAGGAATGAAATGCATTTGGATTCAAATCCATTCTCATCCCATGTTTAGTTTGCAGGATTATTCACATTTGAAAACCTAGGATTACATTGAAATCCCTCGACCATCGGATTTTGAAATCCCACAAGAGTGGTTGAGATTTTATGGGATTTGTATATAATAACGTTTAAAAATATTTGTTTTCTAATAATCAATAAATAAAAAGGTAATTCAATTATTTTTATAATTATTTATAATTTGTTGTTACAAATTATTCATAATGAATGAAATTCAATTTTATTTTAAATCCTACAAACCAAACACGCCAAAGATTTCAAATTCAAATCATTCTATACGAAATCCAACGTCATTCCATCAAACCAAACGTTCCTTAGGAAATTCTCTAAACTTGATTTTTTGTTATCCAAATATTTTATTTGAAAGTAAGGTTTGCATATAATAGGATATGTGTTTCAACTCATAAATAGAACACTTGTTTTCTCGTTATAAGCCACAGGCACATAGCATAGCATAGTCTGGATGCTCACAGATTGCAGGCACAAACTTAGAGCTCTACCCCATCAGGTATCAAAACAACAGAGCCTGTGGTCTTTCGACTTTCAAGGTCCAAATGGGCTTGAGCTGCCTGAGACAGAGGATATTTGTGGTTAACCCGAACCCGTAAAATGCCAGCCGAAATGTTACCAAATACCTCACCAGCAGCTTCAAGTATCTCGTCTCGTGTCCCAGTATATTGCATGAGTGATGGCCTCGTCAAGAACAACGATTTCACTGCAAGTGCTGATATAGGTATGGGGTCTGGTGCGCCAGATGACTGCCCAAAACTCACCATCAGTCCTCGTGTTTTTAAGCAGGCTAACGATCCCTGAAACCACCAAGAAGAGTCCCGCTCAGTAACTCTGATCAATAAAATCAGATTTCAATTTTGGTTCCAGGAACCATGAACTACGATGTGCCTGGTTGGTTCCAAGTTCTCTAAACAGAACCAATCGGTTTCAGTTTGGTTCCGTGGTTTAAATAAAGGGTCTTGATTGCAAATAAGATCAAGTCATTTAGAACATGAGCCCACAAAATGGAGAAAACAAAGATATGGCATGGGTTAAAGAAGATGAGAGACCAAGTTCATTACCTCGAAGGTGTCTTTCCCAACAGAATCATAGACTACTTCTACTCCTTGGTCTGATGTGATCTCAGCAACACGTTCGACAAAACTTTCTTCTTTGCTAATAATAACATGGTGGCATCCGTCCTCCTTGGCTTGCATGGCTTTCTCTTTGGTTGAGACGGTTCCAATAACAATAGCTCCGAGTGCATTTGCCCATTGACACAACAATGATCCAACTCCACCGGCTGCTGCATGAACAAGGACTGTATGCCCACGTTCGACCTGTTTAAATGCATCTCTCAGTCACAAATGTATCAGCGAGAATGCGAAACTGAAATAATAAATGGCTGCCTTTTAAGACGAACAATTTATAAGAGATTCATCTACAAATTTATGCAGCAATGAATGGGAGCAGATATTAATGAGTTTTCAACCTTAGATTATTGTACTCTACACCAAAATTGAAACTATTTCTTTATTGAAAGTAGAAAGCATGACGGTTGAGGGGGTGAGATGGAGGGGCAGGCCGAAGAAGCCGTGGTATGAGCAATTGAAGAGGGACATGACGGCCATCGACATTTCTGAGGGAATGACCTCTAATAGGAGTTCTTTGAGACGCATGATTAGAGTAGTCGACTAGGGGTGGGGACATGAGCTAGCATAAACTGGAGGAATGGAGTTGGAGAGGTAGAGGGTGGGAGGGGAGGAATGGTGAACCAACACATAGGTTACCAGGGTCCTACACTAGACTAGGGGTCGGGTATTTTCAGGCATCCCTATGTTCATTGTACCTACTTTTGTTTTTATGTTGTTGCTTAATATCTTTTAACCTTAATTCTTCTTTCCATGATATTCTCTTTTGAACTCTTTTCTTCAAACTTCGTGACAAGCTTTCTTAAAAATTCGGGTCAAACTTTTTTCTCACATCCACTTTTTCTATCGGTCTTCATGGAAAAACACTCTACTTTGGTCTTTGAAGTAGAAATCAGGTCTGCGTACATCCCACTTGCTAAACCCCGCCTCCGAGTGGGATATACCGGCTTGGTCTGGTTTGGTAAGATTTATTTATTGATGGTGTTTTAGATATTGCACAAATAGTCAAAATTGGCTTAAATGAAATGCCCAAGTCAAACATTACAATTGAGGAGTACCAAAAATTTTCTTGTTCATTGGTGAAAATTTATTATAAGGCAGTGCATGCATCCAAGATCCTACTTCATCTCAACCATATTTGAGCTGTTGTAACAATATCTGTGAGCATAAGAACAAATAATTCAGGTAAAGCCGTAAAGACAGATCATAAATCAAACAAATTTCCGCACTTTCTGCAAGCTCTAGGCCTTATCATTTCCTCATATATCAATCATATCATGGATTCATGGTTCTCGTTGAAGGTTAAAAGCTCAAACAAACAACCAAAAAATGTTGGAAATAAACCAAACCAAACAAACCAACTATATCCCAACAGGAGGTAGGGTCTGGGAGGGGTAAGATATATGCATACTAAGGGGCTGTTTGTTTGGCTCTTAATGGTTACATTAAGAGCCAACCTCTTAATCGCTAAGAGGTCAAGGCTGTTTGGCAAAAAAAAGGGCTCTGAATGGTTACATTTTCCCTCTTAACCATTTTGCATCTAAGGGGTCTCTAAACCATTCAAACTCTTCTTTTTCCATATTTGCCTTCTCTCCCAACATTCCTCACACATCGCTCACAGCCCCTCCCCCCACCCTACGATCGCCGTCGCCTCGTTGCCGCCGCAGCTCGTCGCCGCTGCCTCTCGTCACCGCTCCCTCTCGTCGCCGCCGCTGCCTCTCGTCGTCGCCTCACGTCGCCGTCTCCGGTCGCCTTCCACAGCCTCCGTACTGTTGCGTCCTCTCCTGTCTAGGGTTTGCATCTAGTCGCCGCCGCTCGTCGCCGCCTCCGGTCGCCTTCCACAGCCTCCTTANCGTCGCCGCCTCCGGTCGCCTTCCACAGCCTCCTTACTGCTGCGTCCTCTCCTGTCTAGGGTTTGCATCTAGTCGCCGCCGCTCGTCGCCGCCTCTCGTCGCCGCCTCACGTCGCCTTCCACATCCTCCATACTGCTGCGTCCTCTCTGTCTAGGGTTTGGTTTAGGGAATTTAGCATTTTTCTTTGGAAATTGATGGTGTTTATTGCTAATTTCATGTTTGTAACAATGTTAATGATGATTGGATTACCGACATTTTGCAATTTCTTGAGGATTTGATACTGATATGAAAAACAACATCTTTTCTATATATCCGTTTAGAATTGATTGTATTTCTTGAGGGTTAAAATGGTAATTTGTTGTCATTCAGAGAACAATTACCAAACAACCTTGTTTCATTCAGCACTTAACCATTCTGATCCTTTTAGCCATTCTAACCTCTTAACTATTCTGAACTAAATCATTCAGCAACTGCCAAACAGCCGCCTTTGGCTCAAGAGACAGAGAGGTTGTTTCAAAAAAGACCCCGGCTTGCTAAATGGATTTAGTAAAAAATTAGAAAGCACAAACCATAAGCCACAGATTTGCAAGAAAATGGCTTTTTAAGACAATTATTAAAGCATGCAAAAAGCGCTGAGAAGCACACATAACATGCCACCCGACTCAAAGAAACTCCCTATATCTAGAAAAAATGGAAGAAATACAAACACGTATACATCTAAAGAAGATGAAGATGCAGATGAAGATGAATTTCACCTTGAAGCAACGGCGGACTAGATACTGAGCAGTCATTCCCTTAAGCATGGCAGAAGCTGCTACAGTGGGGTCAATAGATGAAGGCACAGGTACTACTTTCTCTGCAGGAAGTATCTGCTCTTCAGAATATGCTCCCATTGGATTCCCAGCATAGGCAACCACATCTCCAACTTGCCGCCCAGTCAGTCCAGGACCAACAGCTGTTACAACCCCCACTGCCTCCATACCTTCAAGTAAAAGGTATATGTATACACTCAATCCTCATGGATATTTACCTGAGATCGACCCACAGACTCTCTAAAGAAAACAGAGCTCGATCATGGCCCATAACAGTGTAACATTCGTCCAGAATTTCCTATTTTACCCCAAGGCATACCAGTTAGGACAGTTGGTACCGGGTTGTATACCTGCACAAACTGGAGAGGGTTTAAACCTGGCCAGCAGCATTGTAGGAGTCACAATTCCTTCAGGGATTGGCCCCCTTGTGGGCACTGGGCACTTAAGCCAACCACCTACCAGGTTCATTATGTACCCGATTTGTCTCTCACATGAAGCTTTGGAGCTGGGTGGAGTGAGCCCGGCTCAGAGGTTGCCAGTTAAAGATGCACAAAATTTCATATTTGGTAGTTAATCACTACAAAGAATATTGATTGTTGATTCAGTTTATAAGTTTCTTTCTTTAACATCGTTGATAGGTATTCTAGATGTTTGACAAATGGTCAAATACTACAATTAGACAATGTGCCCTGTCATATGCTGCATTAATTTTGGGACAAAGAGAGTGCTACACAATGTAGGTCCAAATATTAATTTTCTCAGTCACATACAGATACACGAATATCTCCCAGAATTTGATATCATTATACAACAATGAATGAGATAAGATCAAACCTGGTGTGAATGGCATTGCAGCTGCCTTGTAGACACCTTTACGGAAATAAACATCAATAAAGTTTAACCCAATGGCCTTATTCCTCACCCTAATCTCTCCATCTTTAGGGTCTCCTATATCAACATCCTCCCATTTCAGGACCTGTATCAATTACGCCTTAATTTTTAGTCAAAAAGCTCCTTCACACATAGGCCAGTTGATCACGACATAAGCAAGAATGAAGTAGCTATAAAATGAAAATCTTTCTAACAACCATAACAAATCCACAAGTTACTTATAAATTTTGCATCAAATTTGTGACTATCCGGACAAAGTTATGCAGCTTATAAAGACATAACTGAGATGTGAAACACAATAATATTATCTTGACAGAACGGATAGAGACCCACTATGCTTTTCTAGTTTTCTTAACTGTGAACTACTAGAAGTATTGTATTGACAACGTAATGCTCCTTTCCATTCCTTATAAACAAGTCACATAATTTGGATATCAAAAGGTTCATTTTCGATACATTTTGAACTTCCCAAATAGAAGTGCATAAAATTAAGGAACCTCTTAACATACCAAAGCAAACCAAACAAACCCAGTAAATCCCACATAGGAGGTCATTGGCATGGTGTATGCAGACCTTTCCTTTACCCCTAGAGGTAGAGATGTTTCCATGAAGACCCTCGCCTTGTAAAAGAAAAAAAAGAGCAAGCTACGGGAGAGAGAGTGTGCAATCAAACAACATATAAAATTATCAGACAAGACAAGGAAAGGCAACACGGACAAAAGTGAGGAAAATAGGTTAATAACGATCAAGGAAACACAATGCACAATACAACTAGTCAATTACTAATAAATGCACATTTTCTTTTGGGGACACCCCAAATTAACTGCATCGTATTCCTTTATGCAAAATTTTCAAGTTACAGTTACCAATTTACCGATTGGTGATCATTACAAAATATTGATACTAAACAGCTTTATATATTTAAGTACATGTTGTGTCCTTTGCATAGGGACTAGCTTCAATTAGAAATACAAAATCTATGAATGCAAGCAGCTTCTTCAACAATATAGTTACAGATAAAGTGATAGAACTTCCTGCTTTGGGCCACCCAATCAGCTTCTTAAGCGCTAAGCATCCTCCACGGCTTCAATTAGTTTGGGTTGCTTAATCAGCTGCCTAGGATTTAAGAATCTCTCACCCCTTCAATTAGGAGGAACTTTTTTTAATTGAACCGTTTCAAAAAATTAGGCAGGAATTATTTATCAGCTTATATTTATCAATCAACTCTTCTCAAATGAATCTTTCTGGTCCTTGATGAGTCATTATAATAATGGAGCAATGAAACTAGTAATTTTGAGAAGTAACTGTATCAAAATAACATCATTCCACCATTCTAATTATCATATGTTTAGATAAGTAAGAAGCCGTTATAATTAATTCAACAAACCGCTTATGCTTCTGCTTGATCGTCCAGTAATCCCATTTACTCAATCAATCAGTCACTCGATAGCTTAGCTCCGATTAAGAACACTAGTTACAGCAGCCCATATAAAAAAGAACAATAATTGAATCCACAGCATCATCACTCATCAGGGGAAACAGTAAAATAAACAATCACTCCGGAAACATTCTAGGATGTTACAGGAAATGCGTATAACTTCAATTAGCCACTTAAGTTACAACAATAAATTTCTTATGTTCTCATAACGTAAAAGAATTAAGAAAGCAGATCAAGTAAGGTAAGTGAAAGACCTCAGGACCACCATGTTCATGAACCCTAATAGCTTTGACCATGGCGGATGATGATGTAAAAATTGCTCTAACTGTTGCAAAATTGGATTTAGTGAAATTGAGCTGTTGCTGTTGTTGTAGTTGTTGAAGACGAAGAATTGGAGATCGATCTGTGAGAAAAGGGTTTAGTAACAACAGGGATTGACGCAGTCTTGATTGAATACGTACAAATGCCATTTGCTGAACATCTTTCAGACATCTCTCCATTTCTAAATTGACCCTGATGAGTGGTCAGTTATACTTCAGACCCTACACTATATTGTAACTTACAGATTAGACCTTACACTTATTGAGAGTGCCATTTTGATACCGATTATATTCTTTTATAACAAATCATCATAATTGTAATATCACTCTAAATTCACAATTACATGTATTTTATTGTAAGATAAGTGTGTCATCGTCTAAAGAATATATAATAGAGATCGATATATCAGAGTTAGATTAGAAGTGAAATATCTTGTAGTTTATCTACTTGTAATTCATCCATATAAAATGACTTATGATTAATGAGAATTACATATTTCTTCTATTTATTATATTGTTGTTTCTTTTCAGTTATTCTATACACGTTATCAACATGTAAGCTTAAAAATTCATTGTCATTGACCATCCCCATGAAAAAAAGTTGTTCAGTTTGCTACCCGATACTAATGATGGATTTACTTCCCGCTACTTCAATTCAAGTAAGCATTTTTATATCTTCTTCTTTATATTTATGAATATTTCACGTTGCTTCTTTATACATGAGTATTTTAAGATCACGTCAACATTTAAATATAATTTACGATTTGACCTGTAGAAAGTTTTGTTATATTTTCATTATTGATTAAAAGAAAAAATATTTAAAACAAAATTCGTGATTATTTAATTTTTTTTTTTCATCTAATAGTGAAATTAAAGATTATTGGATATTGACGTAGAAAAAAAATAGTACTAAAAGATAATTATTTAAACTGATATAAGATTTTATTTTGATTTTTATATAATTATTCAAATTAAATAATTATATGATTTTGTTTTTTTTAACTGTTAAAATATTTTTTTAAGATTAAATATAGATCTATGTGTTTCTACTTTTTTATTTAATATATGTTTATCATCTTATAATATAATTATAATTGATCTATTATAATTCTTTTATAGTTTTATGAATGCTATTTGTTATTTATTAGTTTATTTTATCAGGTGTATCTAATTTAACTCAATAATTTATTTAATTGGGCTATTTTATTTTAATTATTTAGGCCACTTAACATTTATTAATTTAATATGGTTCTTAAAATATGAATTAAGTGAAAGTAGCCCTATTTATATATTAGTAACAAAAATTATTGTGAATATATATTTCCTTCTAAAGATATTATTACTTTTTTTTGTACTTAATCGTCTTTGAATTGGTAAAAGTTGTTTTAAACACTTCTTATTATTTATGTTTGTTCTTTTTGTTATCATAATCTATTATGATTATTATCATCATCTATTATAGTTATTATATAATTATTATAATTAAATTCAAATATTTATCGAGTTTCTACTCATAACTTTCGATCTTATAAATGATTTTTGGAAGTTATACTTCCTATCCCATATATTTTGGTCTTCTACCAAAAGCTCCAAAAAATACTATTAAAATGTTAAAACGGTTGAATTTAACTTTATATCGAAACCAATATTTATTTGTCTAATGGCAAAATATCTTAAAATATTATTAATGTATTAAAACATTAAAGTTGGCTTCATATGTCAAACTCATATTCTTTTTGGCCTCATGCCAAAAGCTTTATAACTAGTAATGTTATCTTCAAAATTAAATAAATCGTAAAATATCGAAAGGATTTTGTCAAAGGAGTGTAAATATCCCGAAGGTTTGTGGGGACTTAAGAAATCAATGTGATTCCCCTACTACCTGGAATCCAAAAGATTGAGTGATTTTTCTAGCAAACTGAAATATTGATGATGCATTATCAATAAAACGTAAATATACAAAAATCCAATATTGTTATGATAATGAAATTTCATGTACATAACAAATTTTTTTTATGAACAAAAAAAAGTCCATATATTATCCCTTATCTATACTATATCATAAAACATTTGACAAAAACTCTTAAAAACAATTTTTTATGCATGAAGCACTGTTTATTGATGCATAATATTTAAAATTCAAGATTACAAGTAATTTTACGTAAGTACAATTGATTAAAGCTCTATTTTTTAAATTCGTGTAACTAACTGCGGATAAACATAATCAAATACAAGATAAACATCCATTTTAAATATAGAAAATCTAAAATGTAATTAAAATAATTATTGAGTTCTAACAGAATGTTTAATTATTATTATTACTATAAAAAAATTATATTGTTAAACCAAAAATAAATTACTTTGTTATTAAATCTAAATTAAATTATAATAAAAAAAATTTGAATTAAAGAAGTTACACCAAAAAAACGAGATCTATTAAATAGTTAATTTGATACTAATATCGCTTTATTTTTTCAAATTTGTATACTATCTTCAAATTTATATTTCATTCAAAAATAAAAACATTATCGTTTTATCAAAACCACATAAAATCGTATTATATCGACAGAGACAACGAATAAAAACTAAACATTAAAATCGAGATTTATCTCGCTGCATTGCGCGAGTACCCTTCTAGTTTATGTAAATGGTTGAAAAAACTAATCCGAGATTCGGTGTCTTAAACTCAAAAGAACTTGAGTACCATAGATTAATATTCAATGAAATAACTACTTTTGTCGGAAAGGTTCAATAATATACTTAAAACCCATCAAAATCTATTGACCTTAAAAATTAATTGTTAAGGTACAAATAAACACCATGAGATTTTTAAAACTACACATCAATCACAACCTTCATAGACAGTATCATTAACTATAATCTCCCAAGATTGTGGGACGTCCTGAAAGGGAGAATCAAGAATATTCATGAACATGTACTTTCTAGACTAATTATACAATGAAATGAAACCCACTTACTCGACTACAAGTAGGTAACTGATTTTCAACAAAAATATATTGTCTCAAAAAGCGTCTCAATCTTTGTGACAAGAAACTCACAAGATGGCATGAGGTATAACATCATTTTCACCTTTCATAAATCAGTAAATATTAATGAACTAATATAAACTGGAATATAACGTTTAGACAAACTCATCAATTACTGCAAGTGGTTGAGAGATATAACAAGATTCATTCGAATAACAACGCTAGACATGTTGGGACTTAAGAAAATTTCCCAGGTCAATAATGAAAGTGTTAGAGGTGAAACCAACTCCAAAGGATAGTGAGTTAAAGACAAATTTTTTACACGTGACATCATACACATGTGAAGAGACCGTGGAAAGGATCATGGCCATGACAAGAGTTGAGAAGAATTTTCCAATCGTTTGGAGAAGAGATGCAACTACTGCACATAAGATAATGGACAACAAAAGAAAAAAATGTACTAATAATTGCTCATATAAAAAAAAACAAGTTGAAAATGAACTATATCATATTAATCTAAGATTGATTGAGCATAATTTTATCTGAAATTTATTTTAAGTATTAAATTAATTTTATTTGTTGATGTAAAACAAAATAATAACCATTATAGATGTAAAGAAATACACGAAACAAATATAAAACTCTCAAAATTCTCCGTTTTCGTGTAGGAATGTATCAGAACTTGAGTTTTTTTTTTTTTTTTTTTTTTTTTTTTTTTTGTGAGACACTCACACATATGCTTAAAAGATAAACAAATATTTATTTTATAATTCCTCCCACCATAGTACTTAGACGATGAATTGTCATTTTCTTGTTGGTACAAGATTAATAGTCACTAAAGTATTATATTAATAGGAACCTTGTTAAGATATTTGTATCAACTGGAAATGATATTATGAGAATGTAAATGGGTATATGTACATTAACTCTAATGATATGAAACGAACATATATTAGAAAATAAATGTGTCAAACTAATGGATTATTTAGGTCATTGAATCATATTTTATCGCCAATAAAGAACTTTGGGACAATGAGATATATATGTTTCAATATAACCATGTGGGACACCATGGTCATGGCATAATGATTCATGTGTTGCAAAATACATATCGACACATTTTTTTCCGAGTAAAATGCAAAATGAGGCAATTAACAAAATTGCAATTGTTGACTTCTACAGCACAAGAAACAACATACCATCATAATATGCTTTCTTGAACACCTACAATTTTTGTAACCTTGATCCTTAGCCAAGACAGGAATGAGACCATTCTAAGAGCTAAGAATATAATACAAAAATATTTCATTCTTACAGTGAATACAATGTAATATTTATGGACATAAACATCCAGAATGTGAGCCATTAAATTATTTTATGGTTACGTTTAATGCATCGACACGATGGACGCATGTCGCACTATTGTCCATACGAAACGTTGCATTCTCAAAACTCGTAGCATAAATTATATGTTTGAGGGCTCACCACCCCGATTATCCTATCAAGTCTGTACGACTTGATAATGCTGGACATTTTACATCGTAAGCATTTGATGATTATTGGATGTCTATTGAGATCGATGTAGAGCATCCCGTACCCCATGTGCATACAAATGGTCTTGTAGAAGCAATTATAAAAAAAAAATACAGATGGTATCCATGGCATTGGCTATGCGCACCAATTTATTCACTTATACATGGGGTTATGCAATATTACATGAAACAACTTATTTGCTTTAGACTCATTGGTAGCCAACCATTTTCTGCGTACCAGTTGGTAACTGGATATGGGCCTGATATTTCACATTTACACATATTTGGTTGTGCAGTATATGTGCCAATTGCGCCCTACAACGCACTAAAATGGGCCCTCAAAGACGATTAAGTATATGTGTTGGATATGAATCCCCAACAATTACTCGCTATTTAGAACCCTTAATGGTTGATCTATTTACTACAAGATTTATGGATTGTTACTTTGATAAGACAGTCTTCCTATCGTTTAGGGGGAGATAGGAAAAAAGATTTTCCAAAGGAGTGACAAGAATTGTCATGTAATGTTCTCACCTTGTCTCATTTTGATCCCCACACTTCATAATGTGAAAATGAAGTGAAACAAATACTAAATCTTCAAATGAATTAGACTCAATACCTGATACGTTTAATG